AAGACATAAAGAAAAGAACGCTGTCTTTATAGTGAAACCCAGATGTGGGAGTATAATTCTGTCGGGAGGGAGAGAGAAATATAAAATAATATATATATATATATATATATATATATATATATATATATATATATATATATTCATAGAAAACCTTGAGCTCTCAGAAACAAGAGTGAATCCAGGTTACCCTTTGGTTTTTAAATGGACAAAAATAAAAAAAAAGTTAATACTGATTCTCAAATGTAAAAGCATGTGGGATATTCTGGTTTTAGAGTCAGTTCCTGTGTCGACCTTCAGGAGGCACTGTAATAGTTTTGAGGAGAGAAACCACCTGTGTGCCTCATTTGCAAATCAAAGACTCACAATAACAAAATCTGGATATGGAGCCAGACTAGTAATAGATAATTTATTGCTCCTGAGATAAAAATTTTATGAATGGGTAATTAATGTAACCTTATTAAAACCAATGTATTCACTGCACGACCTGGAAAAAGTTTTTTTTTTGTTTTTTGCAGAGTTGCACGCAACAGTAAATGAAATAAAACAAATACATTATCACTAGCATCATCTAGTGTAATGAACAACTCCGTTCATCTTGTTCCTCTTAGTTTTTGACGTTTAATTTTTTTAAAGATGTCGTTATGGTTTAGGGAGCCTTGGTAACATAAACCCAACAACCTGGCCTCGGACAGATGCCAAGTGGGAATCAGGAATTAGGGACGCAAAGCCAGCACGCTGCTGCTACAGTGCGCGTCTTATCATGCACGTCTTATTGTGCAGGACAAGCCATTACACGCTCCACTTACAGGGTGGCTGCTGCTGATACATGGACGGCCAGTGCTTTTAAACTGATGTGCGACATGCTGGACAGCTTCCAAACTGCCAGCTGAGTCACCGACCTACACCACGTGGTCTCTGTGGGACGCAGCAGAATGAACACATTCTGTATAAATAATGAGTGAAACTGTGTTGTTGATAAACCAAGCCAAACTCTTTATTTGCATTAGTTCATTTCATTCATAGTGGCGCTTTGGCCCAGAGGCAATGCCTCTGTCATTGGTGTGGAACCCCAGGGTTCACCTCACGGTTGGTACCTTCCAGTGGACTCACCACCCGCAGGAAGGTTCAGAGGGGTTGGTACGGTGCAGTGTGATTTGGGTGGCGGTCATAGAGACTGCTGCACCCGTGACCCGGTAACGGATAAGCAGATGAAGATGGATGGATAGATGACATTTCATTCACACATGTACACACACGTATAACCACTACACACAGGTGCCACTTGCCTTTGGCTCTTCCCAAGCAAATATGAAAACATGTGTTTTTAGTTATTTCACCATTTATTTATGTGCTCTGAATGACCACACAGATTTTTCCATTATCTCACTGTGGACATTGGTGGACTCCCATGTCCTCTCTGTATGTTCATACTGTATCACTTAAGTTATGATCATAACATGCATAAGTAAAAACATTATTATTTAATCTTTTATTTGGCTCATTTAGTCTTTTATTTGGTCTTTCACAGACTTTATTTTACAACCTGGGGAAGACAAAACCAAAACAATATCCTACTGTACATGGCTTTAACATAAGGACTACTAGCGTAAAATGAAGTGCAGGTGTGTTATTTAAATCAGAGGCTGGATCTCGTATAAAACAGTATAGGCCGAATGGTCTTTCGCAGGCCAAAGAATAGAGGAGAATAAAAACTAAATCAAAATACATTCAAGCCTAAACCTACGCTAAGCTAACGTTAAGCAGAGAACAAACCCCTCAGAAGACCTCAGAAAAATGGAGGAAGGATAGGAAACAAAAAATAATAACAATAAATTATTTTTGTTTTTCTACTTTATTTTTCCAACTTGCACTTTCTTGCACAGGAAGTCCACTGTAAACTTCTGGGAATGAGCTGGTTTCTCCTGGAACAGTTGGAAGACTGGGCCTGTTTCAAAATAAGAGATGATCCATATGGGAATCATTCAGGTGGTTGACAGAGCATGAAGCCTGTAGTAAATAAGGAATGGAAAATGTTCTGATCATCACAACTGGCATGTTATTAATTACAGACCTTGAACTCATTGACCATTAACTGTAGGTCATGTTGGCAGCAATGCAGTGATATTAATATTCCTTCATATTTTATTAAAAAGCCCATTATTTATATGTTTAATATCTTCTTTTACTTACTCAGTTCATAGTAATAGAATTATTTTTAAAAATAAGAGTATATTATAAAAGCTAAATACAAGTAATTTAAGGCTAATCTCCTACAGCTACAGCCAGTTGGCTCGCTCGATGGACAGGGATATTCCAGTCTATTAAATGGCTGATTTGACGTCAAGAAGAACTAGGAATAAATAAACATCTACAACTATCCAAGTCCATTAGGTTGTTTCAAGCACTGCTGTGAGAAATGAGAAATAGAGAAGATGATGAGCAGCTGATTTGGTCTAAGAAAACACAATAAAGATGTTTGGACTATCTCTCCCTCAAAATAGCCACAGAGCTGTCCAGAGAACTTCAGCCATATTTGTTATAAACTAATTGAATAGTAAAATAATAAAAAAAGTTATATATATATGTAATGTTATTCAATATTACCCACTCATTGTGGTGTGATTGTGTTCTGCAAGGTAGTAGTTGTTGTTTATTAAAACAAAGATATAAATACATTATAATTAGCTGCGTGAACCAAACATTTACCTCAACCTTGAGTTTTCCACACACTCATTCGTGTTAATTAAAATTAAAGTTACTGTTTCAAATAAAAAAAACAGATGTTTTAGAAAGAACTTGTTTTTGTTTACTATA